CCCGCCCCTGAGCGCCCACCCGCCCCGAGCGCCCACCCGCCCCTGCACACCGAGCTTTGGGCGGCAGTCGGCGCCTCGCTGACAGGGCCAGCCCCGTGCTCGAAGGCCTGAACGAGAGGATTACGGCGCGGGTTCTCTCTGAGGACATCAGAGCCAGTTTGAGACACAAACGGCCCTTCCTGTGGCTGCGATGGCCATCCACGCCTCTCCTGCCCAGACAGGGGATGCGTGCCTGCAGGGTCAGGCTGTCCAGAAAAGCAGCCAGGGCCTGACCGAGGGGCCCTGCGTTCTGGGGTGCTTCTGAAGAAACTAGGTGTCTTGGACATTTAATTAGAAATCTGAACGGGCCTGGGGGCTGGACACTGAGTACGTGACCACGTCTGGGACCGAGCATGGCTGATGTCCAGCAGCATGTCACTGTCAGGCTGCTTGGACAGGGAGTTCCCAGGGGACCCAGCTGCAGAGTGGGGGCCTGTCCACCAGAGAGTGCCTCACCGCTGGGCCTCCTTCTGACCCCAGCCTTTCCACACGCCACCTCCTCTGCTTGGATTGCCCCTCCAGACACCAGCTCAGCAGCACCCCGCAACCAGGGAGGCCCTCGCTCTGACCCGCTGGCTGGCGGGTGCCTGGCTGTGTGCTGCGCCAGCGCCCTGCACTGGCAGGGCTGTTTTCTCATCTGTACTACATGTCAGGCAGCAACAAGTTGAAGAGGGTGCCATTGTCTTCGTCCATGCTTTAAGACCCAACAAGCATGATAAATAAGACATAACATAAAAAGGATGGATAAACTTCATGTCCAATAGTCTCAGAAACATTAAATAACATTGAAATTGTAGTACTTAAAGTATACTTATTGTGAACATTCATGCTTCCGCCAATGAAATTATTTTCTAGTTAGAATATAGACAACTGACAAATTTAATTTGTTGATAGTTTACATATAATACATGGTACATAGGGCATAAAACAGTCACCAGCATATTGAACCTTAACGGCACTTCTGAAGTCAGAGGTCACTGTGCCAGTTAATTGGCACAATGAACAGAGAATCACCGAGTTCTGAGCACACCAGCCACACCTCAGTGCAGACCGGGAGGAGCTGGTAACGGGGGCCTTCGAGCCCCAGAAGAAAGAGCCTCTCCAAAGTGCAGTTTATCACCCAGGTGCCGAGGAGTGATCAGTTGCCTTGCTGGACTACTGAAGAAGTCCAAGAAGCAAAACACCCTAAATAAATGTATTCTTTCATTGGAAGTGCCTGGAAATATGCAGCACACTCACTCAAGGAAGGCAAGAGGGTGGTTTTTATTTTTAGTAAAAGAATGCAACACTTAGAAGGATGGCGTGGGGGGTATCTACTGATTCCCATGACACTCACCTAGCATAACTGTTACAACTCTTGCTAGAGCAATGGCAATACGTTCCCCAGAGTCCCTGCTACGGGAACGGCTTCTCCCTCGTCAGGAAACGGGGCCAACCACAGAAACATCGGCAGTATCAGCGGTGCGCAGTGCTCTACAATCCCTCCACGCTTCTCAATTAGCTGGGAAGCAATAAAATCTGCTAGTGGACACTTTAGAGTTATGGTTTGGTGCTGATATGCACTCTGTGTGTCATTTTTTCATTATCAGTATGATTGAACAGAGAAAGATTGGAAATTCCACTTTCATTTAAACATTCACATTTTGTGGTGTCTGTTTCAGATTTTTTTTTTTTTTTTTTAGGAAAAAATAGTGCAGATGAAATTGAAGCCTGCCCTGCTAGTTTCTATTTCAGGCCTTCCTCCCTCTAATTCCAGGCTTGGGATGGTTATGGGCCCTTTATGTCCTGGATTTTTGCGTGTGTTGGGGGCTTGGGCCCAGGGCTTTCACACTGGCTTACATTTTTGTTACATGTTTTCTCCATATGTGTGCATCCTATATGACTCTTTTTGCTGTGTTTTTAGAATTTACAGGACGATTTACTGTTTATATTGTACACATCCCTCTAGAAGGGTTCTTTGTACCTGGCATTGTCCTAGAAATATAACATTATTGCTCTGTGTAGAACTACTTTACTAACTTTAAGTGATGTACATTATTAGGGTTGTCATATTGCCACAGCTTGTCCACATAATGATAGAAAAAGGCATATATACATGGATATGACTGCATACAGCACCAATTTCTGGCAGTAAGTTTATTTCTTACAAAGTTACATTTTTGGGCCTGATGATGAAAAGAAAATATTGTAGCTCCAATCATGAACTCAGTCTACTGCTCATTCTGAGGCATATATTTCAACACAGACCAAATGACATCAACTGAGAAATCTGCATTCCCTGAATTTTTTGAGCTTTCAACTTTTGTGAAAATATATGACTTTATTTAGCACATTTTTGCTTTGCATTCTTCCATAATATCTAAAATCCTTGTAGTTCTGATGCATCTTAGGAAAGAAAGCACAACTACTGACATGCTCTTCTTTACACTGATGTAAAAGGTAACAGTAAAGTCATACAGAAATGGTCATAAAGTCAGGAAAAACAGACGGTTTTAGGAGGTCTAAAATCTCGTACACAAAATCCACGTGCCAGCTTTTAAACTCTTGTGGCCAACACCCGCATGCTGTGGTTACTCCACCTCTCTCACAAGGGCAGAGCGTGAGATCTAAGAGCGCTGTGAAACAAACCCCACTCTGAATTTAACACCCGCTTCGTGGTTCAGAGCCTCACTTTCTACTGCTGGGGAAGACAGACCTCGATGGCGAAATGCTGCAGGAGGGACTCCAAGTCCTTGAGGTGCTGCGTTGTTCCAGGCCACCCACACCACATCAGGTGTCAGGCCAGGTCTGTAGACAGGCTTCCTCACAAAGATCACCTAACCCTTGAAGTCTAAGCCCTTGACACCAGGTGCACGTCCCTGTCCTAACTCTGTGCAGGCCGTGCCTCTTCTTGAGCCCGCCCCTTTAGTCTTGTAACTTTGCTTCATTTTCGCAGTTGCTTGTGTCCCGGAGCCCGTTTCTTGGGGTTTGCTCAGCAGGTCTGCTGGCTGGCCTCTCCCCGAGGAGATGTGCAGACGCTGCCTGCTGTGGTGCCACAGATCACGACAGCCACGTGTCCTTTGGGCCGCTCCAGAACCACCGAGCCACGCTGCCAGCCAGGCGGCACACAGTGTGCAGCTCGGTCTCAGGAACTCACGATGCTCCTCGGTGGATCTGCCTCCTGGGCGTTTGCGAGGGTTAAGTGAGGTATTCGCAAAGCACTGAACAAGGCTCTCATTATTCGTAACTTGACCTTTATTGTGAGCTCTGGGTCCCCCGCCCCATGCAAGGTAGTTGTGTAGGCAGCTGTGTGCGAGGAATTTAACCTTGTTCCCTAAATTTCTGACCTTTGTCCATGGGCACTGGCATGTTTTGGGTTGGAGTTGGCCAGGTCAGAAGGACAAACGATGCCATTTAGATTGGGGCTTGGGGTTATAACAGGAGACAGACGGGCCGTGGGCTGTGGCTCACAGCGCAGCCCAAATCAACAGAGCGCTGAGCAGGAAAGCTTCCCTGCTGGGTGTCCCCCGCTGGGGAGTTGTGTGCAGCTGGTCATGATCAGTGCCTAGAAGGAAATGCACCCTGACTCCTCCGAGCAAGCATCACAGAAGCCCTGTGTGCAGTGTGTGTTTCCTGGGCTCTGTCCCACGCGCGGCTGCCCTAGCCTGGTTATCATCAGTATCTTTTCCCTATAGTGACCATATATCTCTAATTTTCATCAAGTTGTTGTGAGATGTGGGGTGGTCTTGGGTCTGTGCCTGAAAACTCGTAATTACTTTTCCTCCAATACAGCTAATTTTTCCTCTTTCACTCAAAAACTTGAGCGCATGTGAGAAACAGCCCAGCATAACCACACCCAGAATGTTCCAGGCTTGATTTCAAAGCAAAACAAACACGGCCCTATTCTTAGTGCATTCAAACAATGTATGTAGCTATGTGCTATCTAGAGAGAGTGTCAAATATTGTACTTTATCTAGTGATATCATGAGGATATCACTCATAATAGGA